CACCGACCAGAATTAAATGACTAGACTTGGGGATCGGTGACGGGTGGTACGGGTATAATATATATATATGTACGTGAACTGGGGTAGGGGTCCCTCTCCAGAGGCACCCAGCTCGAGCTGTAACCAAAGAAGTAATTGGAAACCTTCACTCGGACTTGGCATTCTTAGTGGGACCCTAGGGTCGGACCCTGTTACGGTGGTCGGTGTGCGTAAATCCATAACAATCAATAAAAATTTAGTGTTTGCTGGATGTGAACTACTTTTCCTAAGCTTAAGAAAAGGTGTCTATCTACGGTGCTGCAATGTCTTACTGATTTTAGAAAATTAACTTTCAAAGTTACTTTTCTTCTTTCGTTTATATCCTAATGCTTATTTCCCATGAGCAGCAACAAGACAAGTTATAAGAGTCATTTTAAAGATGACCTTGTGTCAGGAAGGATTTAATTAACCAGAAGAAAAACCTGCTCTGTTGTAGGTTGATCAACATCCATTGCTCCTCTTCCCAGTTAACTCCATATTTCACAAGATACCCTCTGCACAAAGTCCAATGTCTCTCAAACCCTCAAGTAAGTTTTGAGGTGTTAATTTTCTAAATACACAGTATGTCCACAAGCCCTTGCCTCTTTAAGGAGGGGGGGGGGATATAAATCCAAAGCTACTGTCTGAAACTTGATTTGGCACCAGTTTATCTCAAAATCAGGAGAAAGTACAGTAACATATATCGCACTTCATACAGTAACAGAAATGAAAAGTATTTACTGCTCTCTGGTATTTTTGCCAGAGTAGAGATCTATCAATCTCCAATAATCCATCTGCTTCTGTAAGACTTTTATTTTTTTAAACAACAAAATTCTGTAGGATTGTGGAGAACATAGGAAGTAAGAAACATTCTCTTTAAGGAGAAATTGTTAGTGGAAAAACCACTCCACACATTTAGATGCCTCCAAGCTATAACAGAGAAAGAAGCACCTGAGCAGTGTTATTGGAAGACATTTGCCATACCTGTTTAAAACCACCACGCACTGGGAACGCTTTGGGATTACAGCAGCGCGGTGGCAGGTCAGCCTCCCTGCAGAGATCTGTTTGGAGGATCAGCGCTTGCTTTGCTACAGCCATCCCTGTTCCCAAACCACCCCTCCAGAGCTCGGAAAGTAAAATGAAACCACTCCGCCTCCCCTCTCCACCAAGTCCTCAAAGCACCCGCACCGGGAAAGGCCGGGCTGCAGATATTCCTGACAAATTCTGCTCAGATTTAGTCCAGAGGTTCCAAATGGCTGAAGAAACATTAAGAAACGGCCCAGTTGGCCATCATCAGTAACAAGCAAGCTCCCTCTCCAGCCCTGTCCTTTGTACTTTAGTAATTGTACCAGAGCCATTAAAAAAATTACTAACTGTACTGAGAGGTAAGGAATAATCGTACAGCAGGAGAGCAGCCTCCTCTACGAGCAACAAGCCACCACCTTTGGTATTTTTGTACCATTTCTGGCACTTCTACACATTCTAATCCTGATTCAGAGTTTGCGAGGATGCTTATTTCCTTCCCCTCCAATAACCTTGCAGAAGACTTATTTAAAAAAAATTCAGGAATGGAAGCCACTTAGAAAACTCAAGGGATTTTAATGACTGAATGAAGAAGGAACTACTTATTATATTTAAGTAGCAAACACGTATTTTGCTATCAAAGCACAAGCTAAAGAATTTGAAGAAGCCACAAACATTAGTAAGCCCAACATACAGAACTTTGAGTAAGAAGGCATTTTACACACAAGAGTTTATCAACACAAAACTGTTTAATATTTATTAAATGACACAAAATACCTAGATAACAGACTCACTCTCTGAAAGGACATGTATTTACATTATTTACCAACTTAAGAAAGACTCTCTGTACCCATATCAGACTTATGAAACATAAAAAAGGTTTTGCTGCTTTTTGCATCGAAGGATGCAACGGTGATACATGCCCTGTTTGCAAGTCTGCATAAACTGTAACTTTTTGATGCAGTGAAAAAGCACAATTTTATATTCTGGTAGCCGAGTGAAGAGGCTTCTGAAAAGTAACAGGGTTAGTTTTTTTCCCCCACTCCAGACATACTCTGAAGAACTGTTATACAAAAAGTATATTACATTTTTGAATGCTGCTGTACTCTTACAATTTTAGTGTAACGTTTCAAATAAAATATTCTTCCTACTATATGAAATCACTAAAAAAGTGGTATTTGAACATTTCTTTAGATGCACTTTTCTTTTTTTAAAGAAAGCATTAGGGCAAATGATATGTCTAGGAAAAAAATGAAAGACTGACAAAAAAAAAAAGCAGAGACCAAAATATGAAGAACAGCTAAAGCAACTTAACAATTTGCTAGGGTTTGTTTTTTTTTTTTATTAACTATTTACTTTGGCACCTTTGTGTAAACTATAGAACAAAACGACGTTTACAACACATTTGCAATTACAGCATTTAAACAAAATGGTCACTTTTTAAACCAGCCAAGACAAAAAAATAGTCCATTTATGGGTATAAAGATTAAAAAACCTAAAATATATATTTCTAAGAATAAACTGCAATTTCTTATGAACAAGGTGCTATAAACTGCATGCAAGAGTCAAGATTAAAAATGTGTGGCCAAACAGACAAGCTGTGTTATAGCCAGATGAGTTGTGGTCCAAGCCCACTTTAATTTTTTTTCTTACAGAGATATATATGGCTCAATAGGCAGGCACATGATCCCAGCAAGAAGTTGCAGAGTTGTACGGCTGGACAATAAATCTTGGCTGCAGCTTTCTCATTAACCAGGAATGAGCAAGACCTTAGCAGAAGAGATGAACAAGTTCTTGGGGAAAACCCATGAAGATACAAGGCGCCTTCCACCCTCCCCTCTCTCACCCCCTCTCTCGGCCTAGCCAGGGTTCTCAAAGTCCATTCTTTGGGTTGCTTTAACTAGATTGCCACTTAGGGTCTGCCTCAGATCGTGGAAGTCCAATGAGATTTGAGGACATTTTCTATATAATATTTCTGCATTTAAGTTACTGAAATGGATGGGATAAAAATTAAATAAGCCTTCAGACCTTTCCAGTTAGTCTGACTGAATGCAACACACCTGTCTAACGAGGGAGGATTTTACCAGAACAGGTATTTCAAACATGTAGTGGTGTTAGATTTATATGCTACAACAGACTGAATGGAACCAGTTCCATACTGATACTTATCATCTCCTGTCTCCCAAAGAGTTAGGTTTTTATGCTCCTTCTCCAAAACACCTTTTTAAAAAGGAATCTTTTATTGGCTAAAGATACAAAACACATACAAGAAAAAGGAACATTGAATGCAAAATACAGAAGTTTTTTGGGGGGGCATTCTTTCCTCCCCAGTGGATCTCTATTTGAACTAATAATTAAAGATTTGCAGGAGCAGTCTTCAAGTTTCTTACCAGATAACTCTACTGTTAGTATTTTTCTTACAGAGGCAAGGGTGGTCCTGGATGTCTACCAGTGGTTATGCTGCAATAGTGTCAAAGGATAAGGCAGATTTTCTGCAGATCACAAAGAGCTGTATGACAGTTAGTAGAGGGTGACAGCAAATAATTTAGTAGAAGAAAAAAACATCTGCTTCATCTGTCAGCTGAGGACTGCATATAAAAGAGCCTGAGAGAAAACACAGCTGGAGAAAATACAGAATTAAACAGTAGATCAAAAAAGCAATAAAGGATGGGATGTGTCAGATACAAAATACACACACGTACACACACTCTCACTGTCTCGCACATGCACACCCCTGAATGTGGGATCACAGTGATAAGTTATAGATCATAGAGAGCCAAGTTACACACTGCCATTAAAAAAAAAAGTAACATCTTGCTTTCAAGAAATATCTGGTATTCCCCAGGACTATCAGTGCCTGAAAGAGGATGAGGTTTTTCATTGTGCTCTGCAACACAGCTGATGGTAGGTCTAAAGCCTGGCTGGGTAAGGAAGAACTGTTATGTGGAGGAGTTACCTTTTCTGCTGACACTTTGTTTACCATATATTCCTGGCACATGCTGCTATAGCAATAAAAAAATGCATTTTGTTGAAACAAAGCTCTACATTCAAGTGACTTATTCTCCCATGTCTTATAAAGATGCAAAGAATGCTCTCTGGTCATCTAAGAAAATATATTTTAGATGCCTTGTAGCAATACTTAACTTTCTATATGAGAGGTAGGCTTCTGGGTTCTAGGAGGCCTGCCACATCTAGGGCTGAGTTCTTAAAGCTTTAAGTTAAAGCAATCCAAAGCAGGGCAGTCTTAGAAGAGATGCCCTGTCTAAACCTTGAGGTTAGTTCAAGTTTAGAATGTTGCAAAGCAAAACAAGTATTAAAATCCATTTGTAATTTTTGTTCTTACAGCTTTACCACAAGAACAGTGTGGCTTTTCATAGATATCTGTAAATAGATTCTCTTGCTAGAGTATTGCTGCCAAGAGGTGAAGGCCTCCTACCCACGACTAGTAAAAACTGTCACTTTTTCCATTATGGCTGTTTTATGCTTATTACTCCCAAAGGTGAACACTAAGTCTTATAGGCAAGCCATATAAATCTAATCCGAACTTGTTTTGTTGTAGCAGTTATTTAAGAATGGTGTTTGTATATACAGTATACATGCCCACACTGCAAACTTTATACATCATTTTATATTGGTACCATTTTGTCTTAATTGCAACCAAGGATATTTTCCATTATATCAGCAATAAGCATAGCTTGGCTTATTCCCCATTTTCCCTCCCTCAAGGGAAAAATCCAAGTGTGGGCATCAACCAAACCAATGGTATGTTACTAACTGAAACGCATTCTGTACAGTAAATTAAAAGTTTGCATGCAGTTTAAGCATTTTAAAGGCTATTTTCTTATATTAATTAACCTTCTGTTTCCATTTAAAGGTGTGAAAGACATCTGTCATATATCAAGGGACTCCTCTTCAGACCCAGAGACAAATGGAATCACAAAGACCAGGTACTTTCTTTCAGCTTTCTGCACATCTTACTAAATAACATGCAAAGAGTTCAACAGCATTCTTCTTAAAATGTAAATAGTACTCTTTAAATGGGCATGTTAACCACTGAAAGAAGTCCACTCTACTATACTTTTCCATTACACTGCTTTCATTCAATCATCGGTAGTATAAAAAGTCAATTAACGGGATCAACAGGCTAGTTTATCCACTGGCAACTCTGTATGACACCAAGTGTGCAGAAAAACAAAGGCCAACATATGTTTATGCAATATAGTTGTACTGATTCGGGTTTTCTTTATCTCTTTCCATGTAGTCCCTGTCAATTAAGGATTCTATTCTCTTCTTAAGGTCAGCAGGCTGTAAAATAAAGCAGATGTCAGCATTATTACTTTGCAGTCAATGTTTCTCGGTTCTTTCTTTCTACTTAAGGCAAATATTCATACTGTTTAAGATGGCCGAGGAAACAGAAATCACAGTTAAAAAAAAAAAATCCCTTAAAGCATCAAAGCTTCTAAAGTCTGCAATGTATAATTGACTGAAGAGAAAGTTACAAAATAGGCTTGTCACTTGCAGCTAAGCATAGACTTTTTACAGCAGGGAAAGATATTTGCTGCTGTTTAAACTGAACTCTAAAGAACTGCAATTCACATATTACGTACCAAAGCATTTCTATTTCTGACTTTTACCTGGTAAAAGATGGTACAAGTTTCATTTTATCTTGATGCAAGCGAGTTTTGCAACAGTTTGGGTGCCCTATGATTTTGCTGGGTGGACTTCATATGCCTCATAATAGAGAGTGAGGAAAAGCACTTAAATCATCTGTTATAACCCTGCAAAGCCCAACTGGAGTTTATGCAATACTTACAGGCCTGCCTGCAGGAACTTAACGTGGTAACAAAACAGAATAAGATGGCAGTACCTTTTATTTTACATTTCCATTGACAAAAACCACTGTATATTTGCATTCAAATAGATGCATCGCTGTCTATTTGAAAATCCATTTCCATTAGTACACAATAAGTAAGCTATTCATTTTATATTGCAACTATGGGCTTCTTTAGCTTTGAGACATTCACCAATATCTAATTTTTATTCCATGTATATATATATATATACACACACACATATACACACACATGTATTAACCAATATAATCTGTCTGGAAAAAACACTGTACATTTGTTGGTTACTAATTTATTAAAAACGATCAACCAAATTAAGGATCAAAACCAATTCTACATTACATATCTGAAAAATTTTCCCCTCATCCCCAAGAACGCATTGCCAGAACACTTAAATGCAAGAAGAACAGCGTACAAGGAGAGCCAGCTTCACAGTTACTGCTAACAGATGCTGGTTCTGAAAGCCTTTAGTAATAGCTTTTAACAACTTACTAAAAGCTTTAGGTAATATTCAGATAAATGAATGCAATTGGCACTTTAAAAATTCCTGAGAGTGAGTATTTGTCCTTCCCAATAGCAAAAAAATGGATGTTTTAGACAGAAGCACTCTGAGGACAGGCCAGGGAATATGAAAAGAAGTAATAAAATCTTAGAAGAAGAAAAATCAGTACTACACCTTTACTGGGAATTTAAGCTGGTTGTAGACCTCTGATACAAGCAGGTTATGACTCAGTGTCTTGCGCATCTTCATGATTCGTACAATTGCAGCGTCAATCTGGTATTGCCGGTCCTGGAATACTCTCTCTGTAGTGCTTGCCTGTTCCTCTACCTGAAGGATCCATTTAGAGAAGTTTTAAAAAGAACACTAGAAAACAATTCTTCTTTGTATCTCTAAGACAATTCTCAGTGTGAGACAGTAAAATGTCTGTTGTCAAATATCTGACATAAACCCTTTACAAATGTGAAGACCGATTATTAAAAAACACTTGTAAAAGTAATTAAAATCTTTGCACAGATTTTACACTGGATGGCTGTCAGGGAAAATTCACTGTGAACTTGCTTCTATGTTCACAAACCATTCAGTAAAACTTCAGGGAATGATCAAGGGCAAGAAGAATGTTCACTAATTGGAAGTTTTTTCCTAACCAACCTTATTTAGAGACATCTAGCACCACTAGTGTCTAAGTTAGTATGAAAGCACACATTTAAGTCTGCACTGTTAGGTATGTGCTATCATTCAAATTATACATGTAGCTTTTACAAAGATATCAGTACATACGTTACAACCAAGAGGAAAAAAGCTTGTAAATGGGCAGGCAACAAGATACTTAACCCAAGGATCTAGACCCCAGAGGATTAAAAAGAATATACCGTTTCTTTCATCTGAATTTGGTTGATCTTTATCCTGAAGAGCTTATGTCTGAAATCATCATTACATGTGAATTTATCACCATCTTCCACATCTTTGCCTTTGGGGCTTTTAGTCAGTACTCTGGCTTTGCCACAAGCCAGAGACTGAAGTGTCCTTCTCAGCTCTCCGTCCTCTAAAGCAGAAACAAGTTGTTTAGGTTTTTTTTAGTAAGAACACTCGGAAGTAGTCAGCTGTTTTCAATACCAACCTATCCCAGTGGCTTGCTTTATCTCCTCTAAACTGAATTCCTCTCCTTCATTAAACATGAGCAACACCAGTGTCTGGAACAAGGAGACCTGAAGTTCTTTTTTGCCCTGTCACAAGAGAAATTAACAGACATCACTAGGCTGGTTTTATTTTTTTGGGGGGGTGGGGGGGGAGGAGGAATAAGTCACTCTTGTATGTCAATTATTTCACTTGAAGGATGTAATTGTTATTTTATTCGTTTGGGAATATGAAAGAATAAAAAGTTACTGGTCACCTTGTGTTTGCTATGAAATGCAGAACAAACTAGAGGTCAGAAGGCTAGACTATTATATCCAGTGACAAAACTCACCCAAGATACGCATCAACTTACTCAAGACAAATCTCGAAGCACTGAGTGCTTAAAATTACAATTTGAAAGATCTTTAAGTCAAAGTGTAACACAAACATTAGTTTAAGAAACACAGTATTAAGAACTACAGGATCTTTGAAATAACCAAGTTTGATAATACTTGTTTTGCCATTAACGTTTTTCTGAAAAATAGAACTGGTAAGCATTCCTATTCCAAGAGACTTTTTCTTGAAATCTGTTTGTGCCTATGAAGAAATACTGAAGGGGAGTAAGTGGAAGCCCTTTAACAACAGTTGTGTTCTTCTACCATCCAAAACTTTTATTTCAGTAGTGAAAAGCTTACTGTAAAGATGCTTAGTGCTGTCAGATGAAGTAAGGTCATCTATGGAACACAGGCC